CAGACAAAAATAAAGGCACGGAAGCCAGTAGGTGGCATGGGGTTCCAATGGTACATATAAGCTTAGAAGACAAACTTGGGTGAAAGCCAGAGCAAGAAGGAGCTGGAGGCGGGATTGAGAATGCACAGAACCCTGCTGTGTGCCCCAGCTTGATGGAGGAGGGGTCACACTAGCCACCTCTGTAGACAGCAGGGCTGGAAAGGCTTCAGAAGAAGCAATTCTGCCTAGAAGTTCAATGTTGTTAACCCTCTGGCAAAGCCTCAGTCACTCTCCATTTACATATACAAGAACCTTGGGGCTGAATGCAAAAGGCCTGAATTTTGTGTGGTAAAAGCATGTTTCTGTTCTACCTGCACACAGAAAAGAAAGAAGAAAATATTGCCAGTCTTCAGGCGATTCATACTGTGCTACAACTGGCAAATAGAGTGGCTGCAAGTAAGAGTGGCGAGCTGGCTGACAATTGGATTTAATTTGGTTTCATTTGCTTTATAGGCTCTCTGTGTAGAGTCATAGAGGGACCTTTCAATGTCATATAGGCCAACCCCCTACCATGGGCAGCTTTTTATCAACTCAGCCAAGTTGCTCAGAGTGCCATCCAACCTGGCCTTGAATGTTGCCAGGGACAGGGCATCCACAACTTCTCTGGGCAACTTGTTTGAGTTTTTCATCACCCTCACTGTAAAAAACAGAATTCTGTCTTATATCTAATCTAAATCTACCCTCTTTTAGTTTAAAACCATTATCCCTTGTCCTATCACAACAGGTTGTACTTAAGAAGTCTGTTGCCATCTTTCTTATGGGCCTCCCTTAGGTACTGGAAGGTGCTCTAAGGTATCCCTGGAGCCTTCTCTTCTCCAAGTTATCACCCCAACTCTTTCAGCCTACCTTCAGGAGAGGTGCCCTAGCCCTCTGATCATCTTCATGGCCCTCCCTGGACTGACTCCAACAGGCACATACCCTCGGGGGCACCAGAGTAATCAATCTAACAAGTTTGTGAGAAAAACACCAAACAATAGTTCCCGTATGTACCTACAACTCCAGACAAAACTGGACTTGAAGAAGTCCAGCCTCTCCCATGATCTAATTAAAAGGAAATAAAATAAGAAGTCCCTTGCCACAGCAGGAGTTGCCAGCATGCATCTACTGCTGCCCAGAAGCACTTACCATGAATTTTGAGATAACAGGAAGAATGGGCAATACCATCAGCCCAGAGACTTCCTCCAGTGACTGTTCCTGCAAAGTTCACTCTCATGGAGGAGTGCATTGATTTTCTATTAGAAGAGTTAAATCTCATTTACTTCCTCTGGAATGGGTATAAAGTAGCCACTTTTAAGGTAATAGAAAGGGAACACACTTTCTATCCCACTCTGTAGTTAGGAAGTCCACCATGAAGTTGCTTAAGGCTGACCACTTTTTCCTATTGAGTTCTCTTTCACTTGTACTTGCTTATATAACTTTTATTTTGAGCCCATCTGGCTTGAGGAAGGACACAAAATGGGACTCTTACCTTTCATCATCATTTATCTTAAACCTAGAAATGAACGTGTAGGCTCTACCAGCGCCTGTCCAAGGACAGCTTGTTATCAAGACTTGGAGAAATTAAAGCAACATAACTAATTTGGATAAAGTAGGGTACAGTCATTTCACATGTTAAACAGAACAATTTATTTGCATACAGGGACAGTCCATCCCATTGCAACTGCACTCAGCCTATGTTGTACTAATAACATCACACCCTCATTGGCATAATTAAATAAAGTCCATGTGGAAGTTAAGCCTGAAGAAATCATATCGCATAATAAAGGGTTACCATATTTTGTGACTTCCCTACAACATGGTAAGCCATAAAAACTGCTTGAATTTCTGTTGTAAATTTTCATGAGTTTCTCAAGAATTTTGTGAACTGCTCTAGCTTTACATTTGTGAGCACAGGAACATGTTAGGTGACATGAAAAAAATTTCTAGGTACCATAGGAGAGAAAAAGCATAAATATGCAAGCTGAACATCCTCCGAATACCTACAGAGAAGATGAGGGTTTTTAACTATCAAACCGTTTCAGTCAATCTCATGATCTTGTGATTTCATGTGCATGATGTGTGATTTAAAAGCCATCAAAACCCTTGTCCTTTGTGAAAACAGGTGGGATTCATTGAGTAAACTCATCTAAGGTGTTGTAGAGTATCTGAGACATCTGCATGGGGCTGGCAGACTTAAGTTAACACACTCACCCAGACCTGTGCTCCTCCACAGCAGCAGCTTTAGGCCAAGGGGGTACTCTGCAGTGTCCCATTTGAAGCTTTGCAGCTACAGAGAGAAAGCTGGATCCCACTCTAGCAGTTTTCCAAGTGTGAAAAACTTGCCCACTTGCAGTCCCGAGCTGTGCTATGAGCTACCAACTTCAGCATCACTGGCTGTGCTCCACTGACATTCAGTGCAGTGGCTACAACCATAACCCAAGGAGGTAAAAGCACTTCTTCCTTCTAGCCCTGTGTGAAAATGAGAGGCAGTCACGGCAAATGCAAACAATAGCTCAGGTTTAGCACAGGCAGCACCTTCATGACCATCCCTGGGGACTGTTCCTACAAGGTGAACCTCACACCACTGTGGTCACCCTTGCCACCTCCACATCCCGGCATCTCTTTGGTCTGGTGGCCCTCTGAGGAACCACACAGGCCACACCTTGACTGTTTTGTGACAATTAAGACTAAGGAAGTCAGTCACCAGAATTTGTTTTCCTTACAAGTAGTATCCAAATCCAGCCCTTTGAAGATGAGAGGAGCAGGGCATCTTTGCTGTAGTCATTTTCCTAAATCATAAAGCCAAGTGTCTTCCTCACACTGCAAGAAGCCTTGATGGAAATAATGCAACTGCAACCCAGCATTAAATAAGCAGCTCACACCAGTAACTTCCTTTCACATTTCTTAGTATTGCATTTTTTCCCCATTACAGCAGAAGGTATTTTCATGTCATTAAACATGTAATTTATTTTCTACTATTTCTATGGTTTCTATAATTACAGAATTAGAAGAATAACACTTTAGTATGCATTTCCATAATTTATCCATTCACAGATAATCAAATTATCTATTCCATACCTTTATGCAGGTAATAGATTGTATACCAGCAATAATGCAACAGCTGAGGTGATTTTACTCTCACACACACCCACTCCAGCAATAAGCATCATCTTGACCTGTGTAAAAAAGCCTCCAGAACTGTCAATTATATGACATTAAAAAGGTAGGCTACTGGACAAAAGGCTTGCTTAGAGAACTGATTGGAGGCACAAAGAGCATGGTATGCTCAGATGACTGTATGATCAGATGCCAAGGAAGGTCTTCAGCAATTCCAGGCAAGGTATTTTTTTTTTGATCTCATGAATTCATGCAGTAAATGTCAGTAGCGGGAGATGCAATGCCTGCACTATTGTACAGTCTTGCTCACAAGTCCTTTTATCTATCGTCACCCACAGTATAGAAATATTGGGTTGTTCCTGGACTCTCTTCTGGAGTTAAACTCTTTTGGAAAGAAAACCCAGTTGCTGTTTTAGGCACTTGCTCAAGAGTCACTCCCAAAGTGCAGCATGAACAAGGTTCAACCAGTTTGGGCTTCCTTTTTGCTGTATACAAACATGCAAAACTATCCCAGTAGTCTCTGATCACTCAAACAGTACATCCCCTTTTGTTTCATGCTTTTAATTCCAGTAGACTGCAAAAACACCCCAGTGCTCAGATTACTTCAGACTTTTGAACTGACAACCAAGAAAAACATAGAGAGCAAGTCTTATGGCTATGGCTACCCCACGTGGGGCCATGGGAGGTGCTTGGCCAAGCATGGGGGGGGAAAACCAAAGGTTTCTAAAGGCTCTTCTCTAGAAGTAACTTGCTCCATTTTGGAAACTCCGATGTTATCTGAAGGGGGTATGCTCTGCACATGGATATATACAGACACTGGGCTTGCTTTGGCTTCCATGAGCACTTCAATGCTGAGAAAGTGTCAAAGTTGACAAGAAACAAAGCAGCTTTTAGACAAGAAAAGTGACATGCCCTGACCCTTCTTGGCACCTGACAACTGTCCAGGGTGGGGTTTAACATAACAAAGTGTCAACAGACAGGCTTCCCGCTCCCAAGTCATTAGGAGTTGAATTTTAATCATTTGCTGCTTCTGCTCTACAATGCCCTTGCAGCCCTCTAATGCTTCTGTTATTCCCTGTCCCTGCAAGTCATCCTATTTCTCCTCTCTATCCCACCTACCCATTCTCAGCAGGCTTCTGGCTCAGTATGACTGTGATACATCCAAATGGACTGGTTGACCCGGTGGTTTTTGACATCACTTGTGACTTTGGGCTCCTTTCAAACCAGCCCTGTGCTGATGAAGTGTAGACAACACTATGACACAAACTCTTCTTGATTCTGCAGGAATTGTATTTCCTTTCTTTAAAAGCATTAAAAAAGAAAAATAAATAAGAGAATGCAATGTGAAGTAACCATGGAGCTGCCAGCCAGAGTGTTTAATGTAATCCCTCCTCTGTCACTAGCTTGCCATGCAATCTCTGCCTGTGGGCACACAACCCCTCTGTGATACTGCTCTCTCCAGAGGAACTAGCAGATAACAGGGATTATTTGTTGGTGTAACACTCTTCAAGATGTAGGAAAGAAAAGAAGATGCAAAGGATGCGCCACCAAAAATTCACCATAATGGTCAGGCAATTGTGAGCCATACCCCTGGGATAACCAGTGCCTGCCTGCACCCCGGCATGCATGGGTGGGAGGCAAAGGGTCGGGCTGGCTGTTGGAGCTGTGTGGTGCAGAAGGGCATGGGCTTCCTCACACAGCATCCGCATGTCCGGCATCTGGGGACTGCACTCAAGGATGTGTTACCTGAACAAGCAATTAAGGAAAAAAAAAAAAAATACATACCTTCTAAAGATTCCTATATTTTGTTACCCCAGGCCCCTCTTCCCAGAGCATGCTACAAGAAAGGATCGCCCCGACTCCACTCTCATTTTAAAATGCTTCTTTTTATTTCAGTGGTTGTACATTGGGTGAATGAATTTAACGTCACAACAGAAATAGAATGGCTATTTAACAGACCACTAGTAATTATATATGTGGTAAAGGAGTGAATGGAGGGGTTTCATTTAACTGTTACCGAAATACTCATTGTACGTGTTGTCAATTATGCTGGATGAGAGAGGCAAACAAAAAGGTATTTTGGTGAGGTGCTGTATCCTTTGAAGAAAATAAGCAGAGACATCTCAAGTCACTTGAAACCATGTCCCAGCTACAGTATTTACTGTCTCCGTGTTGGCCCATCTCATGGTTCTTTTAGGGGGTTATATTTCTTGTTGTATTTCTTTTTAATTAAACAAAGCATTTAAAATTTAATCATTTTCATTAGACTTTTTTTTTAAAATATAAACAAAGTTTTGGCAAATAATATTTATACAGAAAAATAGTTTTAGATCTTCCCAAATTTTGAAACAGTCTATAAAATTACTTTATAAATAAATAAAATGCAGAATCTGTTGTACACATATTTGCACATATCTGTAATTGCCTCCTTACTGTTAGCATAGGTTTGTACTTGTACAGTTTTCAGGAATATTACAAAGTCATAAAGTCGGAAAGTGGATCTCTTATTAAAAATACATTTTCTTCTTTTGTCTGTCAGTTTATCTGGATGAAAGACCTGATGTATCTGAAGCGTCGTCATCCATGGGCAAAAAATAGGAATATTGGATTAATTGTAAAAAACATAGAATAAAAGTAATTTTGGAACATAAAAAGTTCACACAAAATGATGTCTTGAAGAGTTATCTACATAAAATATTTAAACATGGATAATTTACCATTTAGTATTATACAATAAACTACCCAAATGCCTAAATTAACTATTATAAAAAAATAAAAACAACTTTGACAGATATAGGCAAGTTGCAGTGTCAACTACCTAGTTATAATGACTGAGAAAGTCTACAAATATTAGTGTTTTAATAGTATATAATGGTGATACCTTAACTGCTAAAGTAACAAGTTAAGATACGTTATTTTCTCACAAATTAAACTAACGCAACGTTACAAGCACTATGTTAATTTTACAACCAAATTGTGATTATTTTTTTTTTTTCGGATGATCAAATCTCCAGCTTTATATATAAATAGATAGTAAATAGACATCGGACAAACAAGATTTAGCCTGGAAAATAATTTCCTAGACAAATAATAATATGGTTAGTGCCTTCAGTCGTTCAGAACTGGCAGTGCTGCCAAAGTTTAAAATAGTTTACAATCAATCTGAAGAGGTTAAGTTAAAATACTGCAATCACTAGTTATGTTCACATAGAAAACTTATGCTGCAAACAATTATACATAATATCCACTTATAACAGCTGTCTTGTTTTTTTAAACAATAATTTAAAAACTATGTCATTTATGTGATACATGTGCAACATATAAAATGTGAAATATGAAATATTTGGTACAATAGTGCTTGAAACAAATCTCAAATCAAACAAATGAATTTTTAAGTATACATATATAATTACCTTGTAAATCAACAAAGTATTTAAAAAAGTAAACAACATTAAAATCTGCTTCATCCATATATATGTATGTATGTATATATAACATGTATATAATTGTATTAAAGATATCTTCATACTTTTGTGACATAAAATATGTTTGTAAATGAAAACAATTAAAAGAACTATTTTCTCCACTCTAATCTGGTTACAATCCTATAATCCAATTAAAAAAATGCAAATACAGTAATGATTTATTAAACTGAATCTCATTCTACATTCTTAGTGTTCAGTTAATAGCCTAGATTAAAGTCACCTATGAAGTTTCAGTGACTCAACTGAATTTTAATTAAATTAGAGTATCATACAATCTCTTCATCTACAGCCTTTTTTTTTTTTGCCTTTTCTTCTGTTAGTTTGGTCTTGTTTTTTGTGTTTTTTTTGTTTGTTTGTTTGTTTAACTTTACACTTCTAGAAATTACTTCTTAACAGCTTGGATCTTTTTGGTAACCTGACTATGAGTTTCAAAGATTATTCACGTCTGATGAGATTTGACTGTTGGCATCAGGCTCATTTTCATCAAGTCTGATGTGACAAAATTTAGGCACTTCTGCAAAGTCTATTTTAAAAACATTATAAATATACTCGTAAAATAATATTCTCAAGATTTTGTTCTTTTGGGGATTGAAAGGGGTATGAAGTTCATACTGTGCAAAATTTTTAAAATTTCTTCCGCTATTCTGCTATGATTCAAATGCAACTTCTCCATACAAGTCAAACACCAACCATGTGCATCTAAAGACTTTGTGCTTTACTTTGGACTTCTGGCTAAAAACATCAGATTTGCAGGATGATGTGCAGGACACCGGGCTGCGTTTCACTTCCTCTGTCTTGGAATCAACTCACCAAGGGAGCAAAACCAAGAGTTTTTTTTAACTGAGAAGAAAACCCCGAATCATAGTTTGGGTGGAAATTAAACCTGCAACTGGGAAAAGTTTTTAGTCAATGCAACTCAATTATTGCTGAGCTCGAAAGATTCATAAACATGGAATCTCTCGAGACTAACTGATCTGGACCATTTTTGTTAGGTGTAGTTATGGAGAAACGACAATATTTGCAATAATTAAACTATGCTTAGAAAATCTTTAAAACTAAATGTTATTCTTTATGTCTTGAAACATCACAGCTGGTATCAGGTAGTTAACTATTTTAGGTTGGAGTATAGTAAGCATACCATATTTAATATTCATATATGACATAGCAGCACTAGCTTTTTTGAGTTTTTGATTTGTCCATAAGAACAAATTCTTGACTTAGCATGCAGTTTGTGGCAACTCTAGAGAGGAGGAGACAGGGTAGTATGTACAGTAGCCGTGCTTGGCCGTCCGCAGGGAGGCTTCGTGACACTCTGTTCCGCTCCTGCCGGCTATTTCAGGATTATCTGTTGAGAGAAAGGGAGAGCGTGATCGTGCTTTTAGGTGACACGGGGAGAGCAGTGAGCCCAGGCGGCCGGCGCTGGCCCAGCTGAGCTCAGGCACAGCTCACACAGGACATCATCCTGTGTGGGACAGCATCCCATGTGGGACAGCGTCCCATGTCCTCAGGCTGCCTGGGAGGCGTTTGTGTCTCACACACCTGCTTGTCTTCCCCTGCACACAAGTCCTCATGTGCATGAGAACACACAGAGGGAGCACTTTACGTGTCAAAATACTGGAGGGCAGTGCTGAATCCAGGGCCTGGCCAGAGGCAGGCTGTGCACCCTCAGTGCCCTGCCTATCAGTGGAGATGGAAGTCCTGCAGCTCCTGGAGGAGCTCAAAAAAGTGCATCTGCGCTTGGGGCGACTCTCCAGCTCCCACTGTGCTCCCAGAAAGTCAGGAATGATCAGGGGAAACAGTGGAGGTAGGGCTCCTTGCCACTAACAAGCAAAAAGATGTACTGGGCTGGGTGTTTTTATGAAGCAAATGTGTCTTTTCAATGCACTTTCAGCAACTGCTTAATCCCTAAAAAATTTAACTGCAGATCAGTGAACTTGAGAGGTTTTCTCACACTTCCTTATGGCAAGGATTCTAGGGGGATCACCACAGTGGTACCTCTGTGTACCTAACTAGTCACTAACCTTGCTGCTTCACCTTCATGGTGTCTCAAATGGAGGGTGAAATAATCATTTTACAGGTGTATTTTACTTGTGCTTCCAATATTGTAAAGGTTAAATGCACAGTGTGCTAAGCAACCAACTCCACCTTCTCACAGTATTGGAAAATGGTTCAGATTTCCATCACCTGCCTGAAATGGCTGTCAGTAAAAGTGATACCAAAAGGCAGAGGTGTGGTATTTCATCATGCCATTGCTATCCTGTGCTCCAAACTCAAGCACAAGTCAAGGAATTAGGAGTGTATTGCCTGCTCTTCCTCTTTCAATTGGCATATTTTTAGGCTGTATTTGCAGGTGGTATGCAAGGCAGTCATGACAGCACTTGGACCTACTTGTGTATTATGAAACTAGACCACTACTTAATGCAATATATGTATTAAAAGGAGGGGGGGAAATGGTGTTTGGAAAGAAACTTAAGCAACATACTACCTCTGACATACACACCATCAAAAAGAAACATGCTTGGCTCTGCGTGGCAGGCACTCATCCCAGTCCCCTGCCCATCACCCCACTGCTCCTCAAAGCTGCCCTGCCTCGCTCTCTGTACACAAGCACCATCTCCCTGAACCCAAGGACCTTGCCAGCAAGCCAAAAAAGCTATCCTTGATTGCCATCAGCTCTGGAATTCTGGTGACACGTGAGGCCCCGTTGTAATGACACTGTACAAACACCTGCTGCTCCAAAGGACTTAACATCTAAATACATCATGCACACAACAAGGACATACATTTTTAATGAACTTCCACCCATTGTGAGTTTGTTAGCTTATCGCCTATCTTCTGTTTCCTTTTGAAATAACAAAGAAATACCTTTGCTCAAATAATAAAGCCCTGTCTGTGATAACCCTGGTCCAGCTCCAGCACAGTGATTTGACAATACATATAAAGAACACAGCCATGCTGAAAATAAGAAATGACCAAGATTTTCAGCACTGGTATTTTTAGCATGTTACAACCCAACATGTCAGTGTAATTAATAAAGCAGCTATAGCTACACTGGGTTAGCTATAATCACACAAGTGTATTTAAAGGATCCTAAGGTCTCACTTCATGGGACATAACCTGAAACTTGCTCAATAAGTTTTTTACTTAGTAAAATCCCAGAATTTCAGGCACTGTAGCTGACTACATCATCTGCCAACTTTTGAGGGGATAAACTTGCATTTTCTATAGCTTTTTTTTCTCAAGTACAGGGAGAGAGGTAACTGCCCCTTGTGCCAAGATTACTTTGGTCAAACGGTCCCACAAGACTGGTGTTCACAGTTTCCCCAAAATGCGTGACAGAGAAGTCAGAGGGACTAATCTCAGGCTGTTTCTCAGGAAAATGGTAGGACCAAGTGCCACTCATCCTGCTGTATGCCAGGCAGGACAGAGGGGTCCTGGACAATGTGAAAGAGCAGAGACTCCTTCTCTTCCCTGCCCTGGTGAGTGGCAAAGCCCAAGGTAAGAACTTCACTGCTGAGTCCCTATTCCCGACTTCTCTCCCATCAAAACTCAGGAAAACAGCAAAGACAATGTGAACACTTTCCCTTTCTGCACAAGCATGTCCTGTTTATGGGTTGCAGGTGCCAGAGGAGCAGCTGGAGCTCTCACTGCCATGCCTCTCCTGCTGCCAGTGGCTGTGGAGCTGGCTTGCTCCCACTGCATCATCCTCGATGTGCTGCCCCTTGTACAAGGGCCCTAACTAGGGCATGTTGCACCCGGCTATTCCTAGTACATGTAGGAGTCCTCCTAGGAAAAAACCCTAAGTCTCTCCTTCAGAACAAGCTTCTCCAGTGCAGTCACAGAACTGAGGAGCTACATTGTTTTTTTAACCTTAGCCACAAAGTGTAAAATGTCTCCCATAGTCTTTAATTACATGTTCACACCTTATTTCTCAAAAGATATCACAACTCTGACACAGCTACATACACAGGCATCAGCTTCTGCCACTGTTTTTTTTTCGCTGTGTCTGACAGAGAAACATATAATTCTAAACTATTTTACATGGAAAACACACTGTGAACTTCTCCTGTTTAATCTACAAATGAAGTAATAAACTGTGATGGAAGGCATCACTGCTTATTACTCCATCACTTGCATGCTGAAAAAGGAGAAGCTGTACTGCAATCCCTGCAAACACTTTGACAGAGTCTGCACTCCTTTGTTACTTGTAAATAGGTCCAGCTACCTTCATGTTCACTACTCTTTGAAGAATTACATCTCAGATGCACATATATATGTCTTGTCATATTTACTCTGATACTATTATAACATTCTACTTCACAGCAACAGGATGTAATGCCATGACACTTTTACCATAGTATATATAAGAAAAAACCCTGAAAAACAAGATCATATAAAGACAAGTCAAGCATGGAAATGCATTTTCTCATGCTCTGAATAGTTAAGATCTAAGGTGTGGATACAGACATGCCAGAAAACACTCCTTCTGCTGTTGCAGTAAAACATCTAATAAGAAGACTATTTCCAGCATAAGCAGAATGGCCTGGCACTTAAGAGTCTTGAGTAGCAGCTCACAGAAGATTTAAGGGCTTTTTTTTTTTTGTGGTAATCAAAGACAAAGGTACCCTCTCCATCATCTTCTTGCTTGGTACCTGTCTGAAGTGGCAGAAAGCTGTCTACCCTTTAGATTAAAATCATTCACACTGTGCCAGTGATAGTTAACAGACCTCACTGAAACTACTAACACAACGAGTGAACCTAAATTTCTGCAAACCACTTTCTAAATTCACTCCTCAAATTTTCCAGCTCTTTAGAGGTGACATTTTCAGCTCCTAAATGTCAAGCCTTTCTTCCCTATCAGAGCATGCCTCTTTTAGACCTTTAACTTCAGGACTTCTGAGTTATCATAGTGGTCATTAAGCCTCTTATGCAACACAGAACATCCCAAAATTCAGGGTTGCTTATAAAGGTGATGCAGTTCTGAAGTGTCATCCAGGGGAATGACCACCAAGAGAGATGTCACTGCCAATGGTTTCAGCTTCTCACCAACTACCAGTGCAGATAGATCGATTTGGGAGCTCCTCAGACCTGGCAAAGGTGGCTGTGATCAGTCATTGTCTCAAGACTTAAAAAGTAAAATTGAAAGTCTTTTAAATCAAAGTAGAAATTACATTTTTGTGAACTCTTTTCTGACACCCAGGTTACTGCTTTACTTGATACAGTTCATGGAATTGACCAAATTATAGAGAATCATGACTAGGTTCTAGGAATTACAAGAACACTGGCTTGGGATTTTCTGTTTTGAAGCTACAATTAACAAAGCTTCTTTATAGTCTTTGACTTAAATTCATTTTCCATTTCTAGATTTATTATACAATGATAAATAACAGAAAATTTACCATTCTGCACAAATTCAGTATACATGAACTCTTGTTCAACTAAAGACCTGTCACAGTGGATCAGCTGGAAAACATGACTTTGCATCTACCACTGACATGTTTCTTTTTCTGAAGTTTTGAAATTATTACTCCAAAATACAGTGTGCTTTATAAGCCCTAATATATTTTAAGAAGATGTTAAGATTCTATTTGATCTCTACATTACAAAGCACTTACCTCTCCAAAAATTAACTCAGACATAGCAAACATTCTGGTCTGCTCAGCCTTCCATTTTGAAAGCAATGTAGTAATAGGAGTTTCTTGTAAACAGGATTTACCTCAGAGCATTTCAGACACTAATGCCTCAGCCGGTCACCCATTTTACATCTTCCTAGGCTACCTCAGGCAACTTATTTTAGCATGAGACAGAATATCAACTCATGATGCTTTTTTGCCCTCCACCAAATGAAAGAGTCTGTGGTGAACAGTTTGCACCAAGTTATTTAACTTCCAAACACCTGCATCAGGATAGATGAACCCTTCCACAGTGACATTTTCTGTTTGCATGTTTTTCACACGAGGAGCAGACTGGTCAGATATATCTGGGGTATACATTAAAAATGACAGATATTTTCAGACAGCCAGCTCATATCAGGCTGTCTCATAACTTCTCTCTCTTTCTAAAAATAAAAGTAACACCAAGTATTTCTTCCCTTATGACAAGGAAGCCAAGACTATTTATATTTCCCCATGCCTTTGGGAAATGCCTCCATGTCTTTATTTTTCATCTTCTCTTAGAATGTTCTCTTGTTGTATGTGCCTTGTTCCTTTTCTTCAAAATAAACAACTTTTTTTCTTTTTTTTTTTTGTTTAATTAGTAGTGGAAAAAGATGAGTAAATGTTCAGACATTTACTGAAAGTAATCTCTATTGTATCAGTTATATCTGTTCTTATTTAATTTTACATA